ACTTGAGAAATCATTGTGTTAAACAGCAAAAGGAAAATCAGGTCGTCATCACTGAGAAAAATAACGAGACTAACGAGAATCGAAATTGACCGAAATAGTTATATAGCTGAGAAAATGTTTTATTTCTTATATTGCTTAATGTTCTATCAAAAATATTTTGAAATACATTTTATATCTGAAGAGAGAGATTTTATAGTAAAATTATTTGTGATAGCAACATCAGTGGTTAAATGAAAATAATGATGACTGTGTGGAAAGCAAGCTATGAGTATTTAATGTGTGCATGTTTTGTTGTATGAAGAAATTTCAAACAGTTGTTTTCAAATAAAAAAAGTACTGAAGCACAACTTAAGAATTTCAATTCTCTTTATCTTTTCACTGTTTTATCTTACCTTTTCCCCCCTTATCCCATACTTTTTATAACCTTTAATGCTATGCGTGTCGCTTCCTCTGCAAATATTTTTTTTTACGTATCACCGCTCGCAGGATTTTTTTGGGGGAATTATCACCCCACCTCCGGTTATTTCTAATGGTCCCTCTCTAACATCGAACACCATTAGTTGTATCCCGCCCTTGTCATATATATAAAAGAAGAGGAGGGGCAAGTAATCACCCAAGCCCGGTCAAAATGTTGTTTTTGCAGATCTGGCGACAATCCATCGCCAACTAGAGCGCAACGCGAGGTCAACTACACGCATGCTCTGCGATTTCACCTCTCATCTGGAGTAGACGAACCACGTGCGATTCAGTGGATATTCTGCTCCTGCCTTTTACCTCTTGTTTTTGTTTTTATTCTGGGGAAAGATAAGACAATAAGGATGTCAAGGATGACTCAAGTCGGTCACTATACCGATTCCTTCGTCCAGCAGCCTGACCCAGCTTACTTGTGCCCTATTTGGTGAGTAAATAATCTGTTCATAGCTTGAATGCCAAAATGAAAGCCACGGTTTTATTCTGATCGCATTTTTCTTATTTATCTGCGGCTCAGATGTAATATAAGAAAGGGAATCCACAAACGTTCGGAATACCTTTGTATATTGATGAGTTCAAATTGTGCAAAGTATTTTCCTGGCGAAGGCAGTCGATGATATTTGATCTTCGGTAGGTAATCGATATATTCAACAAAACACACTTGAAAATACAAGGCTGTGCTCTTACGGCGCCCGGTCGCCTGAAGCGACTAACATTTCGCTCCGCTCGAGTGGAAAAAATGGTAATGGTTCATCATAACCGTCACGAATATAGAGATATTTAGTGACCACTTATGTAATATAGAGATATTTAGTGACCACTTATGTAATTGTTGTAGTTACTGTAGTTGGGATAGATCGTGTAGTTACCGTAGTTGCTGTAGTTGGTGTAGTAGCTGTAGTTACTGTAGTTAATGTAGTTGGTGTAGTTCGTGTAGTTGATGTAGTTGCTGTAGTTGGTGTAGTTAGCGTAGTTGCTGTAGTTGGTGTAGTTGGTGTAGTTAGTGCAGTTGGTGTAGTTGGTGTAGTTGACGTAATTGCTGTAGTTGCTGTAGTTGGTGTAGTAGCTGTAGTTGGTGTAGCAGCTGTAGTTGGTGTAGCAGCTGTAGTTAGTGTAGTTAGTGTAGTTGGTGTAGTAGCTGTAGTTGATGTAGTTAGCGTATTTGGTGTAGTTGGTGTAGTTGATGTAGTTGCTGTAGTTGGTGTAGTAGCTGTAGTTGCTGTAGTTGGTGTAGTAGCTGTAGTTGCTGTAGTTAGTGTAGTTGATGTAGTTGGTGTAGTTAGTCTAGTTGCTGTAGTTGGTGTAGTTAATGTAGTTGGTGTAGTTAGTCTAGTTGGTGTAGTTGCTGTAGTTGCTGTAGTTGGTGTAGTTGGTGTAGTTGGTGTAGTTGGTGTGGTTGATGTAGTTGCTTTAGTTGGTGTAGTTGCTGTAGTATCTGTAGTTGGTGTAGTTAATGAAGTTGGTGTAGTTAGTGTAGTTGCTCTAGTTGCTGTAGTTGGTGTAGTTAATGTAGTTGGTGTAGTTAATGTAGTTGGTGTAGTTAATGTAGTTGGTCTAGTTGGTGTAGTTGGAGTAGTTGGTGTAGTTGGTGTAGTTGGTGTAGTTGCTGTACTTGGTCGTAGTTGCTGTAGTTGGTGTAGTTGCTGTAGTTGGCGTAGTAGCTGTAGTTTTTGTAGTTGCTGTAGTTAGTGTAGTTGGTGTAGTTGCTGTAGTTGCTGTAGTTAGTGTAGTTGCTGTAGTTGGTGTAGTTGATGTAGTTAGTGTAGTTGCTGTAGTTGGTGTAATTGGTGTAGTTAGTGTGGTAGCTGTAGTTGGTGTAGTTAGTGTAGTTGCTGTAGTTGGTGTAGTTGGTGTACTTAATGTAGTTGGTGTAGTTGGTGTAGTTGCTGTGGTTGGTGTAGTTGGTGTAGTTGCTTTAGTTGGTGTAGTAGCTGTAGTTTCTGTAGTTGGTGTAGTTAACGTAGTTGGTGTAGTTAGTGTAGTTGCTGTAGTTGGTGTAGTTAATGTAGTTGGTGTAGCTGGTGTAGTTGCTGTAGTTGGTGTAGTTGGTGTAGTAGCTGTAGTTGCTGTAGTTAGTGTAGTTGCTGTAGTTGCTGTAGTTGGTGTAGTTGGTGTAGTTAGTGTAGTTGGTGTAGTTGC